CCTCTTAACCACAGGTTCCATGTCTTCTATCACCACTGAAAGCACACAGTGGCATTCCACAGTCATAACTGAGAAAGGAGATGAGATGAGCGAAAGAGAAAGGGAACCATGAGTAGGAGGTGCAGAATTATCTCTTTCTCCAGCTCCCCCTCTGATCTCTTTTCTTTTCCGTGAATATGAACACCAACATATTTTGATGATTTTGGAAGTGGAATTAAAAATTCTGATCTGTCCTTCAAAGTGCTAGTCCCTTGGGAGGTGCCGTACAGAAATGTTGGCACCCTGCCAAGGGGGAAGGAGGAGGCAGGAAAGGGGACAATTACTCTTGAGCCCAGTGATTCAAAAGGGCCTGGAGTCCTGGGCACTTTGAATCATTGGAGGTGTGTGGGTGGTGGTGGTGGTGGTGGTGGTTGGAGGGGAGGGGAGGTGCGCTGCCCTCTGGATGGTCCTGAGGGCTGCGGGGGTGGGAAGGGGTGGCAGTGTGACATGCTTTCTGACTTGGCCCCACCCTTTCTGCCCAATGTCCTGCCCCTTCCAGGAGTGTGGAGCTCCTCCCCTTGCACAGGGGTCCAGCATGGCTGTCAGATCCCCTGGCCATAAGAAAACCCTTCGTTCTTGTAGCAGAAGGTTTACATTGAGAAATTAGACAGAGAATAAGAAACAAGTTATTGGGCTCAATGGAGTGGTAAATGAGTGGCATTTAATGGCCTGTGAAATATAGGAGGTTAGAGTAGATGATCTGACAGTCCCTGCCAGCCTTAACCTCTCCAAATTCATGAAGTAATTTAATTAAATGTGGCTCTTCATCAGCTCACTGTCATGTACAAACTCAGATAAATAACTAGTTTTGGCCTTTGACCATGTGAGTGTTTTAGTAGGAAGTTGAGAATCTTTCCAATTGGAATGTTTTGTGGAGGGATTGAAAAAGAGAATTGATCAAAAAGAGTTTGAAAATTGGCTGCTTGGCCTAGGAATTAATGCTTTTTGCTGCCATATAAAATACTGTGATTATTATTGTTAAGAATAGTAATATTGCCCAGTTAGATGTCAACAAGCAGAAATCAGAAGCGGTCTGCTCATGGATAGCATGAATCGGCTCCTCAGAGGCCTCTGTGGTACAGGCAGTCCCCGAGTTCCGAACGGGGCCCGTCTCCCTGGTCTGCAGACCAGGGGGACGGGGAGCAAAGCAGAGCAAAGCCACGGAGCCCGAGGGCAGCAGGACAGCCACGGCGCGTCGGGGCTGTCCTGCTGCCCTCGGGCTCCACGGCTTTGCTCTGCTTTGCTCCCCGTCTCCCTGGTCTGCAGACCAGGGGGACGGGGAGCAAAGCAGAGCAAAGCCACGGAGCCCGAGGGCAGCAGGACAGCCACGGCGCGTCGGGGCTGTCCTGCTGCCCTCGGGCTCCACGGCTTTGCTCTGCTTTGCTCCCCGTCTCCCTGGTCTGCAGACCAGGGGGACGGGGAGCAAAGCAGAGCAAAGCCACGGAGCCCGAGGGCAGCAGGACAGCCACGGCGCGTCGGGGCTGTCCTGCTGCCCTCGGGCTCCACGGCTTTGCTCTGCTTTGCTCCCCGTCTCCCTGGTCTGCAGACCAGGGGGACGGGGAGCAAAGCAGAGCAAAGCCACGGAGCCCGAGGGCAGCAGGACAGCCACGGCGCGTCGGGGCTGTCCTGCTGCCCTCGGGCTCCACGGCTTTGCTCTGCTTTGCTCCCCGTCTCCCTGGTCTGCAGACCAGGGGGACGGGGAGCAAAGCAGAGCAAAGCCACGGAGCCCGAGGGCAGCAGGACAGCCACGGCGCGTCGGGGCTGTCCTGCTGCCCTCGGGCTCCACGGCTTTGCTCTGCTTTGCTCCCCGTCTCCCTGGTCTGCAGACCAGGGGGACGGGGAGCAAAGCAGAGCAAAGCCACGGAGCCCGAGGGCAGCAGGACAGCCACGGCGCGTCGGGGCTGTCCTGCTGCCCTCGGGCTCCACGGCTTTGCTCTGCTTTGCTCCCCGTCTCCCTGGTCTGCAGACCAGGGGGACGGGGAGCAAAGCAGAGCAAAGCCACGGAGCCCGAGGGCAGCAGGACAGCCACGGCGCGTCGGGGCTGTCCGCTGCCCGCATGCTCCGCTGCTTTGCTTCCTCTCCCTGGTCTGCTGGAGACCAGGGAGACGGGCCCCGTTCGGAACTCGGGGACTGCCTGTACACTGCTGACCATTGAGTAGCTCCAAAAGAAAGTCATGTTTAAGAACATAGGTACATAAAAACTGTCATACTGGGTCAGACCAAAGATCTTTCTAGATCAGTCTTCTGACTGCTCAGTGCCAGGTGGCCTGGAGCAAATGAACAGAAGAGGCAATCATCAAGTGACCCATCACCTTCTGGCAAACAAATTCTAGGGCTATTCAGAGCATGGTGTTGCATCCCTACCCATACTGGCTAATAGCCATTGATGGAGTTGTCCTCAGTCCTCTGTTAATTTATCTAGTTCTGTTTTGAACCCTAATCCCTTAAGCTACATCTACACTACAACACTATTTTGGGATACTGGAGTATCCCAAAATAGCTATTCCACGTCTTAACAGCATGCCCATTATTTTAAAATATAGCAAGCTTGCTATTCTGATGTCCCTGTAAACCTCTTTCCACGAGGAGTAGGGGATGTTTTGGAATAGCGGGTTATTTTGAAATTTGGCGCTGTGTAGACTGCGCCAAATTACAAAATAAGCTATTTCAAAATAAGATCGAAATAAGCTACGCAATTTTGACCTATGGAGCAGTGTAGACCACCCTTATTAGCATATTTTGGGCTGCTCCATGAGGCTAATGAAGTTGGATATCGTTTTTTCTACTGAATTGTTTATTCACGTGATAATTGTTACCGTCACTCTGCAATATTTTGAGCAAGATCCACTGCCCATGGAAATCAATGGAAAGATTCCCATTCACTTCAGTGGATACAGGGTGAGACTTTTAGATAATCATGGTCATGAGCGCTACAGGGAAACCATACAAAGATAAGCTTAGGATCAAATCGTGGATCCTACCCTACACTTTGATCTCCCATGGTGCTGCTCTCTAATGGCACTCAAGAGCCTGTACAACATAGTATTACTGGCAGAACTCATTAATCCTTTCCTTGGAGAGGGCAGGTCAATCATAGCATGAAAATTTTGTATGAATGTGTGTGTGTGTGTGGGGGGGTGATGTGCAGAGAGAAGATAGGTGCAACCTGTTCCTTCAGACAAGAAAAGATTTTCTTGTATGGAAGATAATTTGGTAGGATGTAAGAAAAGGAATAACTTCACTTCTATTCTGATCAATAACATTTAGTTGCCCATTTTTTTTAATGTTATCCTGCTGCCAGCTAAAGGACTCGGTATTACTGAAGGAAACAATAAATTCAGCCTTTTTTCTTGCGAGATTTTGTGGGCTAAAGTGTGTAGCTTGTAGTTTGAATTTGATCAAAAATCTTTGACTTTATCAGAACAGTGGCAAAATGAGCCTGCAGTTAAGATTCCCATAGTGAAAATGCTGTGTTACTAACCCAAACTCCTCTAAGTCCTGGCATGGATTATTTGTCATGCCTTCATATTAAATAGTGTCTTTAAAAATTTACCTTTTATCCAGGACTGCTTTTGTCCTATCTTTCTGCTTAGTTCCTCACTACCTTCTCCTTCTCCCAAATGTCCCCATCTAGAGGAGATGGTGTTGCAACAAGAAAGCTGTCAGAGTGAAAGGACTAACTGAAACAGAGATAAACAAGAATTCATTGTGAAATTTTCATGAGGAATTCTTGTCCACAGTCAGTCTACGAAATTTGGCCACTTTATGTAATTTGGCCATATGTCCTAGTTGTTCATACATTGTCCCAGCATCTCAGAAGCTTATTTTGTCACTCCTAAAATGTCCCATTTTTTATTCCCTCAATCAAAATGTTTTTGTTGTGTGTTTAAAAATTAAATTTTAGGATTTCTATACCTTTCTGTGCCTCTTGCTCTATTCATCTGATGAAATGGGTGATGCCCATGAAAGCTCATGATACTGTAAAAAATTTGTTGCTAGTCTCTAAGGCTACGTCTAAACTACATGGCTCCATCGACGGAGCCATGTAGATTTGTTTTTTTGGCAAAGGGAAATGAAGCTGCGATTTAAATAATCGCGGCTTCATTTAAATTTACATGGCTGCCGAGCTGAGCCGACAAACAGCTGATCAGCTGTTTGTCGGCTGGGCACGCTAGTCTGGATGTTCCCCTGCCGACATGTAAGCCTTTTATCGACATCCCCTGTAAACCTCATCCTACGAGGCATAAGGGGAATGTCGATAAAAGGCTTTAAGGTCGGTGTGGAGTGTCCAGACTAGCGTGCTGAGCCGACAAACAGCTGATCAGCTATTTGTCGGCTCAGCGCGGCAGCCATGTAAATTTAAATGAAGCCACGATTATTTAAATTGCGGCTTCATTTCCCTTTGCTTATCTGTCTAATCTGCATGCCTCCATCGACGGAGGCATGTAGTCTAGACACACCCTATGGTGCTACAGGACCACTCTTTTTTTTAAGTTACAGACTAACACAGCTACCTCTCTGAGACTTACAAAATGTTAGTTCAAGATATACTGCTGTACCAAGCAGAATTTGCTCTGTGTTTTCTAGAGAGAGACCAGGGGAATAAGTGTTCAAGGTGATGAACAGGAGTGAAGAGAAAAGCTGAATGAGAGTAGATCTTATCAAAGCTTCTTTATGCTCAAAGTGAATGTTGTTAACACTTGTTCAGAGTTTCATAATAAAGACATTCAGGACACAAAATAGCCGTTTGCTTCAGGAAATAGATATGGAAGTATCAATACCAGCACTTTTTTTTTGTCCTACGTACATTACTGAAAAATTACCATCTGTTTTTATTTTGAGAATCTGGTGACTTTAATTTTGTTGAAATCATTTTTATTAATTGAATCCAACATCACTGTAACTTGCTGTAATAGTCACATTCTTATCTTCTTTATTTATTATTATTCTTTTCTTTACAGAACAGGCAAAATGCTCTGAAGATGAAATGGAACGACTTTACAAGTCATTAGAGCAAGCAAGTTTGTCTCCCATTGGGGACCGTCGACCTTCAACCAAAAAAGAGCTCAGAAAGTCCTTTGTCAAAAGGAGCAAAAATCCCTCCATTAATGAGAAACTCCACCAAATCCGAATGCTGAATAGCACATTAAAGGTGAGGGGTAAAGTTGAAGTCTAAAAAGAAAAAACAGTTTGAATTAAAAAAGAAACACTCCTAGGCTTTGTCCCAATCTCAAAGTGAATGTTCTTCAGTAAAATCTTTGAAATAATGTTTCACTTTCTCCTCTGTATTTTGTGGCTATGTTAGAAAGCGGAAGCAAAAGCAAAAATTCAGAAAGAGCTGTTCTTGCTGTATTTCCAGCCCAAATGGAGAAGGTGCGAGGAATTTTATAAGAGATCATATTTTAATCAGTTGTAAAATTCACACGCTCAGTGGGTGTTTGGTGAGTGCGCTGAATGGGGCAGCCTCAGAGGAAGGAGAACAGATGTATACTGGTAATGACAAACAAATGACCCTTAGCCAAGAAAGTTTTCCTTAAGTAATTACTGCAGAATGCACAGGATGTGCCAAATCTATTTTAAGGGCCTCCTGGAACTAAAATAGCTTTAATAACACAGGCATCCTGCTTTCATGTTGGAATCTTATCCTGGGTAGAGAATGACAGGGCTTCTCAGAACATTCTCTGGAGGGCCTGATGAATAGACTGCAAAGCTCTGCTGGATAAACTCATATGTGATCCTGGAGAAGTGAAATCACTTATTAATATACAATTAAACTGTAAATGCTGAGGTTTGAATGAACATTAAAACACTGTCTTTCCCATCCTCTTGCTTTTTTGTCACTAGAACTAAGAACTGAGTATGTTACCTCAAATGCTTTTACTTAGCTTTCAGTCATGTCTATTCTGGAGAAATTTATAAAGAGATTTCTCGGCAGCACTATTGTCTGTTCAGCTGATAATAATTCATTCTTCTATAGCATTTGCTGTTTAAGGGCCTCAAAGCTGTTACAATAATTAATGAAGTAAATCCAACTACCCGCTTCTAAGATAGATAAATAGTAATTCCATTTTACAGGGGAGGAAAAATGTTACATGGCTTTTCCAGTGTAATGCCGATCACCAATAAAGGAAAGAACAGAGTTGCTTAGTGCCAAGTGGACTGGTAGCTTCCATGTTAGTGTAAAATCTTCACATTAGAATAACGGTAAGTTGGGTAAAATCTTTAGTGCTATTAGAGTTTTCATTTATTTCCTAGGGGATTCACATCCCTCTGGGTAAATAAATGAGTAAATTATGGACCTGATAGTGGTTAGTCCTCTTTATAACTTTAGACTTTTATTTTTTTGGGAGGTGATTTTCTTGGATATTTTTCTTAAAGCAGAAAATATGGTGAGTTTTGCTTTGTTCAAACTGAGAAGTTGGAGTGCCGACAAGATAAATATGGCATTAGAGAATTTCACATGGAGACAAATAGTATTCTTTATGCAATGGTGTTTACATTAGCTGGTGTGAATGGCACATTCTCAGAGCAAGGAAAATGCCAAACTCTGTGCATCAGAAGAAAAGTATGCTTTTAAAGTAATTACTGTCTTTTTAATATTATATGAATCATGACATAATTAACCCTGCATGATCTATTGGAAATGCAGAACTTAGTGAAGTCCCACATTTGATCCACCTATGCTGTGCTTTGACTAAATCTTTATTAGCTTAAAGCAGAGTGATTTATGAACATGCCAAGGCTGAGTGGGATTCTTATGTTGGACTTGCTGCTCCATGTCTCTAGCAATGAATCAGTGTTGCTGCTGCGGTATATCATTAGCAAAACATACATCAGGTGGCTCGGAAGAGAGGAAAGCTGTATGCAGAGTGTTTCACATGCTAAGGGAAGGGGGGAAATTAGTCTTTTCTCCAGAGATACGGAAGAAAGTTCCACAAAGAAAGAAAATTTCCCCATTGGAAAAAAAATCCCTTCTTCTACATTAGCAGCATCTCTCTTTGTTTCTCTCTCCTGGGCCTTTTGCTGTTCTCTGACAAAGTTGCCAGCTAGACATGGGGTTGAATAATCTGACTTTATAATCAGATGTCCAATTCCAGATGATTTACAGATCACAGAGGTCAGGCATTCTGGGAAAATTGTTGAGACTACTTTTGTGTTTAATTCTGGGGTCTAGAACGCTCTGTGCCTTCTTAGCTGCCTTTGCATCCCCACTTACTCTCTAGCTCATCATCTAGCTCTAACCGTGAAACTTTCTCTCTCTTCCTTTTAACTCCTTCTGCAATGACACTTGCTGGGGCTGACTAGAGGGGCTTAACATAGGCCATTGGAGGGGACTGGTGAATTCAGGAATGTGCCACAGCAGAAACACTCTCGTGCTTGCTCTGAATGTCTGGGGGGGGTGGGATTAAATGCAAGGGAGTGACTTTGGCAGAGCAACCACCACCATGTGAACTCTCCCACAGCTCATCCAAAGCCAAGACAGTAAAGGAGGAGGGAGGGGAATGGCTTGAAGGAAGTTGCTATTGTACCGCCTGTCTTTGGCTTAGCTGTATGCTGTCAGAGCAGGACATGTTAGCAAGAGCTAACTACTTCTGAGTTCAGCAGCAGAAAGTATTATTTGACATATTAATAGTGGAGGGTTGAGATGCTGCCCTTTGAGATCCCATCACTTTCTGTACACGAGCGACAAATAAAGCTTGTTCTGTGGAAACAGACTAGCTTTAAACAGCTGTATTACAGGATTGTAGAGGCAAGTGACTGGCACATTGCATTTGAGAAATGTGCTAATGTAATTAGACTTTGTAAAAATTCATATGGGCATTTTCTGAATTTGAGCCTTGAAATCCATGATATTGGTATCCCAACATTCAGAACAAATGCATACATTAGAGTAAACCGTATGTTGAGAGCCCAGCATATTGAGGCTGCAGGGCAGCTGCTGGGGACTGGTGAGCAGCTCATAAGGAGAACAGCTCCTCTCCTGGAGGGAGACAAGCCATGTGCACAGATGACATATCCCGTTCTTACTATTTTTTCTCTCCATAATGGCTGTTTTTTCTTCCTTCTGATAGCACTAGAACTTCTTCTCATGGGGCTGTTTAACAGCAGAGGCCTTCTCTGAACATGTGCCAGAGAGAAATGGCCACTTTTGCAGCTAATTTGTCTCAGCAGAGGTTCCTGCTCAGAGCTGGCATAGTTAGATGATGATCAGTGGAGAACCTTTTCAGTTCAGATTAGAAACATTTTGTTGTAATATATGTGTCCATAGCTGAAATCCAGTATCACCACTTGGAGGAGCCCTGTATGCCCGGGACACGCTAAAAGGATAAGAAGATACTGTAGACCAAATGAAACTCTGCAATAGAGAATAAAGGTTGAGGGTTTTATTCTCCATGTACCCATATGTCTGGTCACATCTCCTGTGTGGAATGAAACTCAGATCTCTGGGACTAAAAATGTGAGCCTCTACTTAGTGAGCTAAAGGAACAGTGTTCATTAACTTAAAGGTAGTAAACATCTCTGTATGGTCTAGTGGCACTAGACTGGAACAGAGAGCCACTTTATATGAGCTTGGATTACACCTAAATTTAATGAATCTAGGACCTTAAGGGTATCTACAAGGTGGGCAAGGAGTGTTCTTGAAGATCAAAATTTTTGCAAAATGATGTGAAAAGGGACTAGTTCTTCATGACTCTTCTTATGAGCTTTTGTGAAAAAATCCCGTGAAATAGCTTGGCTAGTTTAAATACCCAGATGTAAATAGAACCCTAAGTTCTGTTGAAAAAAACTTTTGTCATGGGCTGTTTTAAAATTCTCCTACTCAAAAAGGGAATCACGTTGCCAAGATGGGCAATTTGCCAGCTGTATAAGGGGATGGGCCTGTAATGTTCATACACGTTTTATTAAGGAAAATTTGGTATGAAGTTGGTATGTAAAATATATATATATATATATATATATAAAATAATAATGTATGTAATAAAATATATAATATGATATGATATGATATTTATCGTTATTAACCCTCTTGATTTTTTTACTAGAGTAAAGAGCATGACCTGGCCATGATTAACCAATTGCTGGAGGATCCTGAGTTGACAGCAAGGAAGTATAGAGAATGGAAGAACACAAACTCCATATTGGTGCAAGATGTCTATCAGCAGCAGGATGCCCTGGCTGGGTCTGAAGGGAGTAGCAAGGAGCCATAGAAGAACTCACCACCATTCTTTAACTGAAAATGTTAACTGAGGACAGTGGAACCTGCAGTATGTTACAGGATTCCTCTCTAACCCTCTTTGCCTACTGATGCTTTAAGCTACTAAAGTTTAAGGTGTGGTTTTTGCAAGTGCATATGTCATCCCTTTTAAAAGGAAAACAACCCATTCTCCCAAACATTTTTCCTCTCTCCAAACTCATTTCATGCCAATAAAATGGAACCCCAAAACTACAAAAGATGCCCTTTCTGGGCACACATCTGAGGCAAACAGTATATGAAGCAAAGAGGAAATGGATTTGCATTCAAGAATGGGTGATCTTTCATAAGAGATAAAGTGAATACATAAAGACCTGAAAGTCTCCGAGGAATGTACATATTGTAGATACTAGACCTTTGGGGTCATTTTGTTCATGTAAGCTCTTGATTGAAGGATTTTTTTTAAAAGCTATGAAACTCCTAACAGGATACAATCCTCTCTCCTACCACTTGTTTCTGCACGATAACTACAGATAAGAACTTTTATCTCTACTTATCCTTGTTTTGACTGCATTACCATTTTAAATGGTGACAACTAAGATAATTATTATACAAAAATCTGAACTTTAAATAATGTTCAAGGCACTCAGTCAATGGACAGCATAAAGATTTCCTCATTGTGTATGGACAAGATCAAGATGCTGTTTTCCTACATCATCTAGAGAGGGTCCGTTAATGTGTGTCGGTGACAAATAAATTTGTTCTGCAATTTGGAAACTCTATCTCATCAAGTTTCAACTTTTCTTATGGAGTATAGGATTCAGTAAAGGACAGTTTTCTGCTTATATTTTTGACAGTAATGAATGTGTGAAGAATAAGAGTGTCCTGAATTTTTAGACATAACAATAGCCCTTATGCAGTGCTTTTAAGAAACAGAGCACAGTATTCTTTATAAAGAAGATCAGTATCATTATCCCCATTGTACAGATGGAGAAACAGAGGCACAGAAAAGCAGTGACTTGTCTGATGACATTCAGCAGGTAGTGACTGAGCTGGGCAGATCCAAAAATATAAAACATAGTTGTTTATATTTTTGTAAATATATATGTCACATTATGGCTTACATAAATGCCTGACCAAGTACTGTATATAATTTTATTTATATATTTATGTACTGTGCATTTCCTACTGTAGAAAGGATCACATGTTATAGATGAGATTGTTTATCTGTTGATTTCAAGAGAAATGCCTGCTCAGTTTTCACACTCAAATATGATTAATATAAATTCATATTCATAAATTCCAAAGTTACAGACACATCAAGTGTTGCATTGTAAGCTTTATTTTGACCACCTCACTTCTACCTTTTTGTTCTCGTTATGAGATTTGGTTGAAAATTTCACTGCATATTCTAGGGTAAGAAAATATTTTTCTGTAAAATTTCATTACCTCAGGTGATATAGTTTCATAACCCCAGGTGGTATAATTTTGATTAACAGACTACTTAATAAAAAAGTAATTTTTTTTTTTTTTTTTTTTTTGCTGCAGTGTGTTAACATTTTCAGCCTTAGGTTTCTCAGCACAGGATATGCTTTTGAACTCTCAACTAGGCCATGTGCAGTATAGTTTTATTTACACCAGGGGTGTCCAAACTTTTTTCAAAGAGGGCCAGATTTGATGAAGTGAACATGCGTGAGGGCCGACCATTTTGCCTGACATTCTTTGAACCATTAAAATTAAATGCAAATTAACTATTTTATGCAAAGTTTATTGCAAACGGCATACTTTTCATTTCGTCACATGGATGACAAATCTAAACAGGTGTTAAATCACTCTGCCTTTCATATCTGAAGGCCAGATGAAAAAAAAATCCAGGAAGCTGAAATATATGTCAGGAACATTGTAAAGTACATTACATATTATTGGTAATAAAGGTTGTCTGTCAACTTTTAAGTTCAAAAAATATGAACAGGAACATAACACCAAGTATACATGTTGTGTCCAAATATATTTATAACTGATTTAGACCAACTGACATTAACTGAGATTTTACAATGTATTCATCTCAATACATATGGATTCGTTGGGGGCCATAAAAGATAGATATTGCCAAATTACCTGGGGGGCCGTATTAAACCGGAACACGGGCCGCAATTGGCCCGCGGGCCGGACTTTGGACATACCTGATTTACACATTTGAACATATAGAACTTTGTAAAGTCATTGAGTTTTAAGAACTGATCTTCCTTTTTAAATGGATGCCCATCAGAGAAACTAACATTTAAAGATATATACTCAAATACTCTGTGGGGAAGGAGGAGCACTCCAATAAGCCAGTGTGTAAAGATGCTCTCTAGAGTTTTTGGACTCATCTAGCTTTAAAGCAGAATACACCATAAAACCAAAAATCAGATGTATGCAGATATTGAGCTACCTGCATGCATACTGTAGGTTATTAGAATTTTGATTATGAAAACAAATATTAATCATCTTCATTGGAGTAGGCTAGCTCTCCTCCACTTGCTTAGCAATTAGTTTTAATTGCTTGGAGATATTTCATTACTAAGCAATTAATATTTTAAGATCTAAACACGTAGCTATATCCTAGAACATCCAACATGATATTGGCTCATTAGAGAAGGCTTGAATGTGGTAACTGAATGCAGGGGGAAGTCAGGAAGAGGGGAGGCTCTGAGCACTGAGGCAGGGCAATTTTGGCAGCTGGCAAATTCATTCAAGTTTGATTGTAAGAAGCCCTGCATAGGTAGAGAAATAGGTTTTCCCTTCTGCAGATATTAGTGGAGGGAGACATAGATTGAGGCATGGCAAGACACAGGCAGCAAAAACAAGTGCTTGTTGGGTGTTGTGACTCGGGAGCAAGGGTGGATCAGGGATGCCACCAGCACTGCCTCAGTGAGTCTAGATTTGTATTGCACTATGGAGAGCATTAGCTAGAAAGCAAGGACTGGCTCCGGACTGGAAGTGGGTGGTAAGAACTAGTGTTGGAATCAGAGAAAGAGACTGAAACAATCACTGGGCACATCAGTTAAAAAACAAAACCACAAAAACCTTTTAAATTAAACCTCCTAAACTATGGAAACCACAAGCTAAGTGACATAAGTAGAGCTGACAACTGCCTTACCCATCCAGCTCATTCCCTTGAATTGAACTTAGCAGCTTTAACTGTAACATGATGATGGTTTGTTTGTTTTAGGTCTGAATAGGTATATGGATATATTCTATTGTTTTAAACAACAGTACTGAAGGGTTTTTTTTTTTGCCACTGATATTATGCAACCAAAGGTATAAAATGCTTCAGGAACTCAGAGAAAATTCTGCTTAGGATAAATCAAGAAAACAATTTATTCAACTATGAAATTCCTTAGTATGGTTTGAGACTTCAAACATTTTTTTTTTCAGTTCCCAGTGAATAACAAAACTCCAGAATGTTAGTGATATTTATTGTCCTGGTAAGAATTCTTCGCTCAAAGCTGTCATTTTTCCAATGTGTACCTACTACCCAACAAACAGCTTAGGCTAAACCAATAGTTTCACTCACATTTGGAATATTTCCCCTTGTGTCTTAAAAATCAGTTGCCAAGATTTGATACAGTAAGTAATTTTTTTTCAGAAAGCCTTCAGAATGACCCATATAACTACCATTTGAAAGGACAGATCTTCATCAGTCGGCATGGAGTGCTGGGTGTGGTGCCCATTGCGCTTTCTGATTCTGAGGCTACTCTGTATCAGCCCACAGTATTAAGATCCTTGTACCTTCATCAGCTGCCATTGGACCCTGAGTTCCATAGGGCAGCCAGGTTTATGGAAGCCCTAAATAGTGCACCTTGTCCCTAGCTGCCCTCTATACTGACACCCAGAATAGGTGGTATGGAAGCCACTACAGGAACTCTATACCACTCAAGGATGTATCTGTCCACCAGAGTCCTTTAGGACTTGTTCTGCCTAGTTTAGGGTTAATTTCCATTGGGAAAGTGACACCAAACTCCTCACTCTCAGTGTGGAAACTTGGCGAAAGCCTTGGAAAAATACATAGACAGTACAGAAATGTTTCACATTTCACATAATACAGAATGTACATGTGTATATATATTTGCCCCACTTTCTCAGTTGTCACAGTGCTCGCTCAGCAGTGGAATAAATACACCCTCCCCTCCCAGCTCATGATACATGCTTTGATTTTATAACTCACTATTCATAAGTATCCCTCCTGGGGACCTTAAAGTCTACTGATGACATCACATTTTATTGTGCCATTGTTTGACAGATCAAACAAAATTGCCTCCCAAAGTGCATGTGATGAACCTGAAACTAAATCAGCTAGATAATACCAATATCAGGTGATTTACAAGGTCACCCACCACACAGTCCCATGCTAGCCCTCAAAATAGCAACAAGTGGGACATAAATAATGGATAGACCTCGAATGAGCCCTCTGCATAGGGGTGGATCGTATGTGTGTTCAGGAGTAAAACAAATAATGTAAATGTAAACGATTATCATAAATCTGAGAGTGTGAATTAAATTGTTGGCTTTCCAGCAATACAGACTCCAGTGAAGAAAGAGATGTTTATCTATTAATTAGTATCTCATGTCTGATTTATTTGTGTATATATTTTTCATCTGTAATTTGGTTTGGTTGAAACAGAAATGGAGATGTAGAGATACACAATTAGGGTCTGATCTTGTGAAAGGGCTCTCAACTTCCATAGACATCAGTGATAACTGAGGGGTTGCTTACATGGCGAGTTTGTGTGCAGCTTACTGGAGCATGACAGGTAGCACGCTGTTAGTGCACAGGTAGCTAGTGCACTGTATATTCACATCCTATAGTTGCCATGAACTAGATAAATGTATAGACAAGCCCTGAGCCATGTCAGCACCTAACTGACATAAGTCCTTGAAGTACATGTAGGTAACAAGTCCTTACCAGCTTATGATCTAACCTGCTTTAAAAGCTCTCAGTCTTATAATCATTCCCAGCAAAACCTTGAAGAGGGGACAATCTAATTGTCTGACTCCTGGAAGTAATTCTCCAAAAGAGAACTGCCCAATTAGATGTGGAAATGAAGGGATGCAAGAGGGATCTTTGGCCATATATTTGGTATTAGATCAAATAATCACTCAACCCATTTGTGATACTCTCATGTTTAGAGGGACCAGCTTGAGGATTAATCTCCTGGGTCCATCTCAACTGTAAACCTGTTGTTGGGACTAAACATTCAATAAATACATGGCTAAATTGTGGTAGTTTAGGGCTTAGTCTTGAAAGTGGCTGATTGCTTTCCCAGGTGCTTCATTTTAACTCCATTGCCCACATGCTCAAGTGCTTTTCTGAACCAGTGCCAGAATGATCAGCAGCTTGCAGGACTGAGCCCTCGTACCCTGGCAAATCTGGAGTGACTCTATTGGTTGAAATAGATTTACATTGTGTAAATGGGAGCACAGTTTGGCCCAGTGGGTCATGCCATCTTATGATTAGTGCAAATGCATGCATACGCATGTGTGTATTTGTAGGTGTATGTATGTTTGTGTAATAAGTAGTGACAAAACAATGTCCTTGGATTAACAATGCAGTACAATTGATTGCAATAGGGTCATGTAGCCTGAAACAATTTTGGAAAATTGGAATAGTGCCTTGTTAGCTGGGCAATAGATTTTTTAAACTATTGACTTTTCAAGCAACTAACAGAGAGTGGATTACATCACTTTGTTACTTAAAATAGAACAGAGAATTCTCAGCACAGGATAATTTTAATGTAGCTAATATTTCAGGCAAAAACCTGTTGTCTAAGAAAGTAAATTTACTGAAATGTCTCATTCAGAATGAGAGGAGAAGAGGAGCGGAATAATTCTATATAAATTGCTGTAGGCAAATGATGGGTGTAATTGTTAATTATATTAGGACAAGAGACCACTGAGCAGCATGTTCTCTAATCAGTAGTGTTGACAGTCAATAGTGTTCCTATAAAAGATTTAGGAGTATGAATTAGGAATGGCAATGTTACTCTAAAATGCAAAGTACCCAGTGAATTATGCATGGGGTTCTAAATGGGTGCTAAAACAACTATTATGCTACCCACCCACGTGTGTTATTTCACATGTTATTCAGGAGAATTTAAACATGTTTTTTAATTTATGTGTATAAGTGAGACAGATGGGGGGGGGGGAAGGTTTCATTATTATTCCTTTGTCCATAAGGCTTTGAAGTGACTGCAAAATGTAACAATTTTAGTCATTTCTAAAATCCATTTTAATGGCTTTTTTCAAAATCAAGGATGCCTCTCTATTTCAGCCTATAAGAGCTCATGAGCTGCCAGGACTAGAAGTGAAAGCTGCAATCCACTGAGATGGAACTGAATCCCAGCACTCTCTAACTGTAACCATTTCACTAGATAGTGGACTGGACATTTGTCACTGCTCTAGGACTGACTCTGTGTTTCAGACACATGTCATTTTTGCAGGGGAGGGGGA